CTATTATTGCTGGGGTGAGATGATATCTCATTGCTGTTTTGATTTGCATCTCTCTAATGATTAATGATCATGAGCAATTTCTCATGTGTTTGTTGGCTGCCTGTATATCTTTGGTGAAATGTCTGTTCAAGTGATTTCTTTTGTACGCCTATACATTTTAATATAGTGAGAAACATTTTTCTCTGAGGAGTCCATAGGTTTCACACATCCAACAGGATCCAAGTTGCAAAATTAGGCTAAGAATCCCACTTAAAGTGACCTGACCTGTCAGGTTTCCCTCCTGGGGAAGGATGGCTACTTCTTGCCCCACTATCACAAAGTTTCATGTAACAAATGAAATATTAAGTATTTATCAACACCAATTAGGTATGTGCTTTTTAGGCTCTGTTTTTGGTGATGAGAACATATCAGTGAATGAAATAGGCAAAAATCCCTGCCTTCATGGAATTGAAGTTCTAGTGTGAGGTGCCTGCATGTGTGTGTCTGTTTGTGTGTGTGTGTGGGGTGTGTGGGCATGTGGTCTATTCAAGTATTATGATTAATGTGCTGTCATTTCCTAACTCTTTTGGACCTTGGTTAGCTAAGTTAAGGAGGATCATATCAAGTGTTGAATTCCTTTCTAGCTTTAAGTTCTTAGACATGCTGACAATGATGAAGCATAATTATGAAAGCATTTTCCAAGTGAACTTGAGCAAATGGCTTCATTAGAGCATTGGATGCTTCAGTGTGTATTAATCTCAAGACCAAATAAAAAGTGTTGACTGATTGAATGAAAAAAGAATGAATGAGTGGATGAATGAGCAACTCCCTAATGTAGGTTTTACTAATCTCATTTCATAGCTAGAAATCTGAGGTTGAAAGGGGTTAAATTGCGTAAGATTACTTAAAAACAGAATAAAATATTCCCAACATGCTATGCTCACTTGGAAAATCTTCTCTGGAGGGTACAGTCCAGGAGTCTTGGGTATCTTAGAAAGGCTGTCTTTGACACAACCCCTTTCCTGTGCACATCCAGGCTAGAGGAACATTTTAGGGTAAGGAATCCTTTGCTTTTAAATCAGGATATTTTGATCCAGAAGACAGCAACTCATTGACTTTTTTAGTCTTATTTTTGTCCTTAATTTTATATCTTTCCTCAGAAGGAAGGTTGGGCAATCCTACTTCCGTAGTGATACTGCCTCGGAAACCCAAGGAGGGGTCGCTATGAGTCGGGTTTGACTCGACGGCACATAACAACAACAACAACATAGGAGATGATAATAGGATCCTACTCTGGCTTACTTGATGCTTCCTGGATTTGATTTGTTGGCCATTCCCGTATATACCAATGGCTTCCTGTGTCTCTATCCCCGAAGATATTCTTTGGCAGAAGGAACATACTTCGCCCATATGCAAGGGCAAGCTGGAAGTTCTGGGAGTTGATATTCCAGTAGTAATTCTCACCCAATGACGGTGGGTAAATACCCTGAAGGAAAAGTCTGAGATATCTCTCAGAAGGTTTCCAGTGGGATTGAGCCCCAGTTGCTCAGTTGGTAACCCACTCCTTAGCACTCATTTTATTGACCTCTCTCTTTTCTTTGTCTCACTTATCCACTCTGACACTTGGGCTTCCTGGAGTCACTTCCTAAATAAAGTACTTGTGTTTAAATCTTTTCTCTCACGGTCTGTTGACAGAAAACTAAGTATGACCACACTAAGTATTACTATTACTATACTAAGCATTCCTAATTAAGTTATCATACAAATGGAATATATTAATTTGACTTAAAAATACAACTCAAAATGCTCACACGTTGAGGCTGAATTGACCAACATTCCTGCACAATGTGGATTTCGCATTATATTATTTACTTTTGCAAAATTGATCTTGTTTGTACAGTTTGTACCTACTTCAGAGCAATCTTTTCTTTGCCTGGAATCTTCTTACTTCTTCCTTGGTGACACAGTGCTGCTGTTCATTTAGCCAATTTGAGCAAGGAGTCTGAACTCATTGAGTTGTTAACTTCGTGGAATGATTTTATCTTTGCAGTAACAGCTACTGAGCATATTTATCCAAGTGGGTAATGGAGACACCACCATAACTCAGTCTGATATAGCTGTCTAATCCAGTTTAAAAAAATCAATACCATTCTAATTCAAATTAACACTCCTCTCCCTTGTTCAAGCTAAACTTGCTTTAGAGAAAGAGAAATAGGTAGCAGTGGTGAGGCAGTGGCAGGAGATATATAGTATGCTCTTTGTTTCTTCTAAATTCCTTCCCCAATCATGGGGTTTCACACTAACCCATGGCCCAAGTGTATAGGGAGCAGTAGAAAAGGGATATTTTGTTTACCTAATTGGCTGTATTCAGCTGCCATGGAGATGCTGTCAAAGGAAGGTAAAGCGCCTGAATCTCATTTTGGTTCAGTCTGAAGACTGCAGCTTCTGCTATTGAGAATGGTCTGGGTGTAGATGATGTATTTAGTTTTCAGAATAAGGCTCAATTCCACCTAGACCCCTCTTTGGGAGGTCCCTACCCACTGCAGAAAAATAGCCATATCATCCTTCAGTTTGCTTCCGTAGTTCATGCAATGCACTCTCTAGATTGGGTGTCCAATTACTTGGTTAAGTGGTTTATTTCATTTAGCCCCATGTTTCCTATTTCCTCTCTATGCGCCATCCAACATAGCCAAGGAAACGCTTGTATTTTCTTTGATGCCCTCCAAAGGCTGTGGAGACCTATGTGGGGGTTGCCCCATTTATCTCTTCCCTGGCACACAACATACTGCATCCTTTCACATTCTGCATTCCTAGGCTATTATCTGAGAGTTTTCATCTTCAGAAATCACCAGATGAAAAATGAGCTTTCCATATACAAGAGCCTCCTCAAATTCATGGGATACATGTTAGTGTCTTCCTTGTCATCCGAAGAGGGAAAAGGGCCCAACATTGTCTTCCAGGCTATCACAGAGCTATTTCAACCACACCTTCTCTAATCCAAGTCCTTTGCTATATCCCTAGTTAGTAAAGTCCTCAGATCAGTTCAGTATTTTTGGAACAAGGAAGTGGCATGGGAGTCTTTAGCATGAATCTGGTTTTCTTTGAGCTCAGCAATCCAGAATTGAATTAATTTTGTTCTCAACAGTGGTGTCTACACCATAGTCTTACACTATTTGTAACCTCTAGGGATGGAAATATTTGTTTTCATTTTCTGTTGTCATGATGTAATTTTATACTAACTTATTTGCATTCCTCAAGATCATAAAGGGAACTTTCTTCAATAATACAAACTCAGGAAATCAGTGGAGTTTCCAATGACACAATCGGGAAAAGGCAAACATTTATTTTTATTTGCAAGTGCATTTTCTGCCAATAGGTAGTGCACACAAAACCTTTTAAGCTACAGTAACTTTTGGTAAACTCAATGAATACTTTAAAAAATACTCAGTGATAAGAAAATTACAGAAAAATTTCCATTACACTGTCAAAAATGTTTGGAATCCAAAATCCACTATTTGTTCTGGTTAAAAAGTTTTTCCTTTCCTTTTCTTTCTATTTCTACATAGTCCTATTTTAATTAATGTAATCTGTTTCATGAACTTTTAGAACTGCACTTTCCTGGATTTAGTTTGTTTTTAATTACATAGCTATATCAGTATCTTAATATTTTACATAAAACATTGATCTGCTGACTTTTAGGAAACAAAATTACAAATCTTATTTATGGTGAGGCATTTCCAGTTTTGGAGAAAACTGAAAATCTAATCACTAGAAGGTCATTTTATGCCTTTTTTTCCATTTTTTAACTATAATAAATAATTAGCAACCTATTCATTACAAAAAAAAATTCTTAATTATGCGTAGAGCAACCAGAGCATGTTCACAAATTTAAATTCATGTTTGTTACAGTATGTCAAGTCATTAAGAAAAACTTCTGGTTTTCCAGTTTGGTAACAAATGGCTTTTGTTTGATGCATAATTAATAAAAACTAATGATGACTATGTAGCTCTTCCAGAGTTTTAAAGGCAAATCTATATTGGCCTACAGTTAACATGCAAATTCATCCAACAAGCAACACAAAATGTATTGTAGTAGTCATTCATTTTTATCAACATTCAAGAAGATCTAGACAGCAGCACAACTCTCCTATGTCAGAAACACATTAAAACATGGTCACAACTGAAGTCAGATCACACCTGGTAGAATACCCTCTTGGGAAACCATTCTCTAGAGTCAGTTCAGACTTCCAGCAAGATACATGAACAACAGCAATTAATACTCTGGTACAAAGGTAAATACAGACAAGAGTTTGGTGTGCTAGCATACAGTTTCAAAACAGCAACAAACAAAACCAAACATCTTGCCCCTGATCTCTCTCCTTTCCTTTTGTGAGATTCGAATTTTCACAGCCTCTTTGAAACATTCAATTCGGGGAACAAAGTCCATTGATCCTAGCACTGAAATTGCTCCTTGGGAAGGATATTTGGCCACAAGGGGATGACATACCCACTTGAGAAAGGGCATTAGGGGAAACACCCTGCCACGCAACAAATGGTTTGCTACTAGGAGCCTTGAAGAAAAGTGAATTTTTTTCAAATTATCTAACGTTATCCCAAGGAGTAAGTCATTTGGGGTTATATTGTGGCTTAAATTTTATTTTATAATTTTTTGGTTGGATAAATGATACGTGCACCACCATCACTCTTAAGTCTTTCCATCATATAAGACACTTGTTAAAATAAGAAAGAGTTTACTAAAGCTGACGGTGATTGAGATTCATTCAGTATTCAAAGTTCTTAAAGAATCATTGTTTTTCTGAAAGGGATAAAAAAGTAGGAAAGGCTTTGTTCAAACTCCTGCTAGGAAACAAGTATTACTTCAACTGATACATTGGCTACGTGACATCAAAGTACTATAAATTATCAAAACTATCGTACAGAAAAATTACAAATTCATTGCAAAATACATTACACTGCTACCATTAAGAAAAAAGTGCTTTTTGTTTACATTTCTTTCTTTCTTTTTGCCAGAAAAGTATTCTTTCGAAATAGAAAATCCTATGCGTTACCCTGCATGTGGCTAGGATATATCATAACGGAGTTTGTACTGAGTCCTTCTGATTTGCTGGATGAAGGGCTGAAAAATATAATGACTTAGTAAAGCCGTGCTTCAAATGACCTCACCAGCTGTTGAGTGGAGAGATGCCTGTTTAAGACACAAGAAGATGCCCTGGTCTGTCAAACCCTGTCGGTCATCACACTGTCCCACCAATCAGCTGGTCTAGAATGCACAGGCTTTTTTTACTGGTCCATGGGTTCCTCGTATTCTCCTGAATGGTTCTCAAGTCCTCATCTAGACTTTTCACCTGTATGAATCATCTGTTTAGTGATGCCTATATTGTCTCATGAGAGGAACGATGCAAGATGGTGGACCTGCCAGTTTCAAGAATGGGTGTCCAAGGAGGTCCTGGGCTGTGGCTCTTTGAGAAGGCCCCCTCACCAACATCAGGTCTAGGAATCCCCGCAGCACTGAAGAAACCTGCCGAAACACAAAGATGCCATCCTGAAATCTAAGACAGAAACCCAACCCAGATTCCCTAAGACAGTTTCCCAGGGAGGTCCTAGGAAAGTCATTCTATCAAGAACATCAAATTCCAGAAAGGCACCTTGGGGAGAAAGATGCTGTGGAAGTCAAAGCAGGTATTTCCTTTTTTGAACACAGAGTATTTTCCTTACTTCCTTCTTTTTAAAATTTAATTAATTTTTTAAATTTAATTAATTAATTAATTGTTCACAGGAAAACTGGAAGTTGTGTGCCCCTTATCACAATGAACCCAGATTCCCCTTAGGTGTATTGTAAACAGAGAAGCTACTCTTTAGGTACCGTGCTCTGAGCACATCCCTCCTTACCTTCTTTAAGTTTGAAGTAACAGGGTTAATGATGATTCAACTAAGAATAAAAACCGACTTACTAAACAAAATAATAATGGTAATAATAATAATAAAACACCCAAACTAGGTGGTAGGAGCTCTGGTGGCATAATGCCGAAGGCATTTGACTGCTAACCAGAAGGCTGGCGGTTCAAACCCACCAGCCACTCCTCAGAAGGAAGACTGGGCAATGTACTTCCATAGAGATACTGCCTCAGAAACCCAAGGATGGGTTGCTATGAATCAGATTTGACGTGATGGCAGTGAGTTGGCTGGTTGGTTGGAAACTAGGTGGTATTGAGTCAACTCCAATTCATGGCAACCCTAGTTTCAGAAAGAACTGTGTTCCATAGGGTTTTCAATGGCTAATTTTTGAGAATTAGATTGCCAGGTACCCAGGGTGTTCTCTTAGTGGACTCAAATTTCCAACTTTTGGATGAGCAGCCAAGCGTTTTAACTGTTTGTACCACCGAGGGACTTCCAAGGATAATAGCAACTATTATGGGATCCTCACTATGTATAGGCATAGTTGCATACATGCAACTCTGTTATGAAGTATGGTATGAACATGGGATAGTTTTATTTTTCTCATAATTGCAACCATCTAGGCTCTGTGGAATCCTCTTTTTCAAATAGAAACAAGCTATCTTAAGGATATCTGACACAGATAGCATTTTTCTCTTTAAAGTCTTGTAATTTACTTTCTCAAAGTATAACTTACATACATTCATATCTGGTAGCATAGTGCCTAAGGCACTTGACTGCTAACCAGAAGCCTGGAGGTTCAAACCCACAAGCCACTCCTCGGAAGGCTACTTCCATAATGATACTGCCTCGGAAACCCAAGGAGGGGTCGCTATGAGTTGGGGCCGACTCGATGGCACATAACAACAACAACAACAGCTTAATAAAGTTTTATATATCTATATCTATTTATCTATCTCTCTCTATATATATTTGTACATATTTACTATCTACCTCAATCAAGATATAGAACATTTCTACCACTCCATGAGAGTGTCTCAATATCCATCCCCCATACGTCATCATCAGGAGCTCTGGTGGCGTAGTGCCTAAGGCATTTGACTGCGTTTGACTGCTAACCAGAAGTCTGGCGGTTCAAGCCCACCAGCCACTCTTTGGAAGGAAAGTTGGGCAATCTATTTCCATAGTGATACTACCTTGGAAACCCAAGGAGGGGTCGCTATGAGTTGGATCTGACTCGACGGCAATGTGTATGTCATCATCACTGTGTTGACTTCTAATAGCATAAATTAATTTTGCCTGTGTTTGTACTTTACAGAGAGTTGTATAGTATGAACTCTTTTCTTTCTCATTTCTTTTGGTAAATATTAAGTCTATGAGATTCCTCCCTGATGTATATGGCAATAATTTTATCCTTTTCATTGCTGTGTACTATTCACTGCTGAAATATGCCACACATCATTTGTTCATTTGGGGACAGCCTTGGGAAGATTCCACTTTTCTGACCATTACAATTAAAACTGTCAAGAGCCTTCTTGTACATGGCTTTGAACAACATCAACAGTTATTTCTACTGGGTATTGATCTATTTTGATACTACATATATTTTTTAGTCACTTCTCATTATTAAAACTTAGTCCAGTCCAATTAAAATTTCAATATCCCCTTTGGTTCAAGCAGTCTCCTTTTTTTTTTTTTTTTTTGCAGATTCACACAATCTTTCTGGTTGATTTTACTGGGGCTCTCTCCTCAGATTTACAGATGAAGGAAAAGGAGGTTCTACCATAGCCAACTCTTCTCCCCCAGAAGACAGCCTCATGTCCTCTCTCACTGTCATTATGCAGATGAGAGAGGAAGTGTGTATTGGGGTCAGTGCTTATGGCACTGATTCAGTAGAAATGGTACCTCTCAGCAAGTCTTGCAAGGAGCTGGATACTCCCACAGTAATGATTCTTGAACATCTGTTTTTTTTTTCTTTCTTTCTTTTCCTAAGCTTGGTCCTAGTTGGCAATCTTGGGAAAACAGGAAAGACACCACTTGGTCCTTTATATACGTTATACTAACCATGACCTTCACTGCCCTGCATGACCTAGACCTCGCCTAACTCTCTGACACCATACCTTACTCTTATTCTCTTGCTCACTTTACTCCAGTGACATGTTGTTGTTGTTGTTATGTGCCATCGAGTTGGACCCAACTCAAAGCGACCCCTCCTTGGGTTTCCGAGGTGGTATCACTACGGAAGTAGATTGCCCAATCTTGACATAGGCCTTCTTTTTTGGCTTAAAGACTTTGCATTTACTGTTCCCTATGACTGGGACATTCTTCTCCCAGATCTTTGCATGGCTTGCTCTTTCCTCCTATTCAGGTCCCCGCTCAATCATCCCTCCTCAGAAAAGTCTTCCTTCCCACTTGAACCTACACTACTTCCCAGCTTCCTCCCCTGTACACTCCTAACACATCAAGAACTTTTTATTTTCTTCATACACTTGCCACTCTCTACAAGTATTTTATTTGTGCATTTATTTATAGTTTATTATCCACCTGCCCAAGTAGAATGTAAGCTCTAGGAGAGTCAGAGATTCTGGGGTCTTGTGCTGCGAATACCCCAACAATAAAAATAGTAGCCAGCATGCAATAGGTGATCAATTAGTAAGTGTTGGGTAGAAATGACCTATAGGGTTCCCAAGGCTGTAAAGCTTTACAGAAGCAGACTGCCTCATCTTTCTCCCATGCAGTGGCTAGTGAATTTGAACCACTGACCTTCTGGTTAGCAGCTGAAAGCTTTAACCACTGTGCCACTCTAATTCCAAAGTCCATTCTTGTAAACAAGGGTCTACTGCCTGACGAAATATGCGTCTTTAAAACCACAAAGTGACTGGCAAATTCTAGATGTAGTTTGAACTTCAGCAACAGATGTCACTTCCCACCTTGTGTAGGTCCTTCACTCTTGGAGGTAAACTGTCCCGGATCCTCTGCATTGCTTGGAGTGGAGGCTCATTGAAGTAGGGAGGCTCACCATCAATCATCTCTATCACCATGATCCCAAGGGACCAGATATCCACCTGTTAGGACATCCCAGTGGTTATCTCAGGCAAGGAGGACATGCTGAAATGTTGGATGTGCCCATAGAACTCAATAGACTCATACTCATAAATTGATTGTGATATTTTTAACCTCTCAAAATTAACAATACAGGTCTACAGGCTGAATGGTTGGTTAATGGTTTTTGCTAATGGTCTTCTTTTGCTTTTTAAAGAAAATGTCAAAGACATTTCCACCAACTAGGGATAAATGAATATCCTAACATTCTGAAATTCAGAACTTGAGTTTTCACCCTGTTACATTCTCTAGTTAACTACTAGAGATGTGGGCAGATGTGAAAAATATCTAAAGTTTTGTATTATTAACAGAGAGAAGAAAGTTGCACTTAACTCATAAGAAAACAGGGATTTTTTTTTACATACTCACAACAAAATGCAAGAAGGTATATTGCACAGTGCAGAATATATTCTGATTCTTTCATTAATTCGATTTTAAAAATAGTTCAATTTCCCCCTTTTTGAGGTTTTTTCCTTTCTGTTTTATCATTTAAAAGCAGCATGCACAAAACCTTCTTTTATAAAACCATTTTCAAGAAATGGGGACAAGAAAAGGAAGAGATGACAAGCAATTGTTTCTGGGTAAAGAATGGGAAGCCTGGGCAATGAGAAGCCCTAGCTGTACTATAAATTTCCAGTTACAGTCACTTCCTGTGATAGCCTCATTACACCTCTTATCTGTTGGCTGCATTGCTAATATAAACCTTGCAGTGACCTTCACTGAGAATTTATGCTCTTGGGACCACAGTGAGAAAAATAAGTTGCGCACTCTTTCAAGGTCAAGCAAACAAGGAAAAGAAAGCAGAGCCCTATTTAATTCATGCCAATATCCTTAGCTCATTGCTACCTTTTACCGTTCTATTCCTGCTACCTCTTACTATTCTTCTCCTATCTTAGAATCACCCTCTTCATCATAATGTTTGGAAACACTGTATGGCCAGTTGAAATTAATGTTTTTTTTTTTTTTTCAAATCTTCTACTTAGTGGTTTACCCTCCCTTCCCCACCCACCCCTGTTAATCATCAAAGAAATATTTCTTCTTCTCCTTTTTTTTTTTTTTTTGTTTGTGAAACCCTTTTCTTGACTTTTTATACTAGTGGTCTCATACAATATTTGTCCTTTTGTGATTGACTAATTTCACTCAGCATAACAGCCTCTAAGGCCATCCATGTTATGAGATGTTTCACAGATCTATCATTCTTCTTTAACAGAGTGTAGTATTCCATTGCATGTAAAAAACATAACTTCTTGATCCATTCCTCTGTTGATGGGCGTTTAGGTTGTTTCCAGCCTTTTGCTACTGTGACTATGCTGAGATGAACAGGGTGTTCATATATCTGTTTGTGTCATGGTTCTTATTTCTCTAGGTTATATACTTAGTAGTGATATAGCTGGATCATAAGGTATTTCTATCTCCAACATTTTAAGGAAGTGCCAGACTGTTTTCCACAGTAGTAGCACCATTTTACAGTCCCACCAGCAGTGTAAACCCAGAGGGTTCTAGTTTCTCTACACACTGGCAAGAATTTGTTGTTTTCTGTTTTTTTTTTTTTTTTTAACTTTGTAATTAATGCTGGGGTGAGATGATGTCTCATTGTTGTTTTGATTTGCATTTCTCTAATGGCTAATGATACTGCCTTGGAAATCCAAGGAGGGGTTGCTATGCGTCCGGCCTGACTGGACAGCACATAACAACAACAACAACAATGGCTAATGATCCTGAGCATTTCTTCATGTGTTTATTAGCTGCTTGAATGTCTTCTTTGGTGAAGTGTCTGTTCATGTCCTCTGTCCACTTTTTAATTGAATTATTTGTCTTTTTGTTGTTCAGTTGTTGAATTTTTCTATAAATTTTAAAGATTTTTCCCAGTCTGTGGGTTCTCCTTTTACTCTTTTGGTGAAATCTTTTGATGTGTATGAAACAAACTTCTTGGCTTCCACATGTATGTACATTGTGTGCCTCAGAGGTTTCACTATTCCCTCCCTAGACTGCTTTTCCACCACTCTCTGTCTCCCTCATTGTCACAAACTCTATGATATTTCCTTTCCCGATGAAAACAAAATTGTACCATAATTTAAATATGGTAATACAGGTCTATAGGCTGAATGGTTGACTTAAAGAGTTTTTGCTAATGATCCTTTTTTGCTTTTTAAAGAAAATGTCAAAGACATTTCCACCAATTTGGGATAAATGAATATCTTAACATTCTGAAATTTAGACCTTGAATTTTCACCCTGTTAAATTCCCTAGTTAACTACCTGTGGGCAGATGTGAAAAATATCTAAAGTTCTATATTATTAACAGTGAGAAGAAAGTTGTACTTAACTCAAGAAAACAGAGATTTTTAAAAATAATATTTATATATGATCTTTCTAGAGGAATACTTTATTAAAGGGAAAAGGAAGTATTACCTCTCTCTTAATTTCTTACTCAAACATTACCTCTACTTTTCTGGAGCTTTCTTTAACCCTGTATCTTTTCTCTGAATCACCCAGCCTGCTCATCTCTGCATCTCAGACCATTTTTCTAGTCACATTGCCTTGCTTTGTGCACCTCTCTGCTACTGAGAGAAGAGCAGTGCTTGTGTGACTCTCCCTCAGTGTCATGTAATGGAGCTCTGTGCATTCTAGACCTCAATAAGTAACCCCCTGAATATTCTCAGTGGTGGCCAGTAAATATCCTCAGTGGTGGCCAATCTCCTTTCTGCCACAGCCACTCTATATCTAGTGCAGTGAATAGGGAACAAGTGTGAGAGTCAAAAACTTCTCACTAGATCTCCTGTAGTTCACAGCTATCTCAAGACCACTGCATTCTGGAGTCTATCCCAGGCCATGCCTCTCCAAACAGTAACTGTCACCCCCTTACCTCTGTCCCATAAGGTAGTCTAGAGATCACCTCAGGTGCCATCCAGTATGGAGTGCCAACAAGTGATTTCCTCTTTGGCACCTCTTTGGAGACTTGAGCACAGAAACCAAAGTCAGATAACTTTATCTGAAAAGGAAAGGAATACAACTTTACGATATTGTTTACTAGATATAAAAACATGTACATAGAAAATTTTAAATTCAAAGCAAAATAATCTCATTAATGGGTTTTGGAATTATTGGGGGAGGGGTTGGTCACTTCTTTTTTTGAGAAAGGCACAATTAATTTTAATGGAATAATTTCTCATCAACCCACCAGGTTTGACTTGCAAATGTTTAAACTCCTACTGCTTACATCTTTTATAAAATAATGAAACAAACAAAAGGCAGACAGATGAGATACACCAAAACCAACAAATCCATTGAAACTCAACTCTACAACTTTAATTTAATGTGACAATGATGTTTCAGTGTAAATAAATTGATATTATCAATGTGATTTTGGTACAAACAACTGCAGGTTAGTTTATTTTGTGTCCAACATGTGTAGGTTTCTATGTATTGTGAGATGATTTAACCAACTTCTTTTCTATATTTAATATACTGCAAACCTTCATTATTATATGATACTGATATAGCACTTTCAGTGTTGATTCTCTTTCCTTTTGTTTTCCCCTTTGCCCATGATGAATGAACTTGCCAATGTGAATATCAATGCAAGTGGAAATAGCACAGAGGCTGGGTGTTAGCAATTGTTAATCATGGGTTTAAGGCAGTCATCACGATGACTCAGTGTACACATATGTTAGTTGTTTTAGATTATCCTATACAAATTAAAGGGAGCTCTGGTAGCACAGTGCCTAAGGCACTTGACTGCTAACCAGAAGGCTGGCAGTTCAAACCCACCAGCCACTCCTCGGAAGGAAGGTTGGGCAATCTACTTCTGTAGTGATACTGCCTTGGCAACCCAAGGAGGGGTCGCTATGAGTCGGGGCCGACTCGATGGCACATAACAACAACAACAACATACAAATTAAAAAGGCTTTGATAACTATTCCACAGTGCTCAAGTCTTCGTAAGCAAATGCTTCAGAACATACTGCAGTATCAGGAACTTGCTGATTTGGGTATCCCTGATGCCCAGCAGTCAGCTTATTTCTGGGAGGTGTGATTCTTGGCCATGATGCCTTGGTGTGAACTTCAAATGGCCTCATCCAAGACTACTTTATTATTGTTCATGATGATAAAAGATTTAAAAAAGAACACAATTAGGCAATGGTACATGGGCAATAGTGGTTCTGTGGTAGAATTCTCACCTTCCAGGTGGGAGACCCAGCTTTGATTCCTGACTAAGGCACCTTATATGAAGTCACCACCTGTGACAGTGGAGGGTTGTGTGTTGCTATGATGCTAAATAGGCTTCGAGGAGCTTCAAGACTAAGAGAGAATGAGAATAAAGGCCTGGAGATCTGCTTGTAAAAACCAGCCAGTGTAAACCCTATGGATCACAATTGTCCAATTATGGAACCAATTAAAGGAATGATGCAGGGCTGGGCAGTGTTTCATTCCATTGTGTATGGGGTCATCATGAGTCAGGTACTGACTTGATGACAGCCACAAAAACAACAAATAGATCAATGGCCTAGTCTCTAAGACATGAATTTTGTCTTGATTTTCTTCATACTTATTGGAAATTCCTTTCTTAACATTTTTCTCTGGTTTGACCTCTTATGCTCACACCTTAAATACTGGGGGTCTCTAGTGTTTGGATCTCAATTTTAGGTCTTCTCCTTTAACATACTCTTGTCAGGTTCCCTTTCTCCTCCCATGCTTAATTTATATCTCTCTCCTCCATCCAAGATCAGAATTTCCAACTAGTATATATTTCCACATGGAAGATCAATGTTACCTTCTGAACACTATATACTCTCTCCACTCCAAAACCTGACCCACATCTATCAGTCTTTTATCTTTGTCAATGGCACCATCATCCACCCCATTACTCAACCTAAACTGTGAGAGTCATCCTTTACTGCTTCCTCTATCTCACACCAAATATTTTTGGTTAGAGTTTTAAAAATACGTCTTTGTAGCTGTAACATTGACAATAGAAATTGGCCATTAATAAAAAACAAAACAAAACAAAACAAAAAAAAACACTGTCCTATGGGAAAGTCAGTAGTTTGAACCCAGCAGACACTCTACAGGAGAAAGGTGAGGCAGTCTGCTTCTGTAAAGATTTACAGCCTTGGAAATCCTATGGGAGAGTTCTACTCTGTCCTATAGGGTTGCTATGAGTTACTATGAGATGAACATCAGAAGCCTCTCAAAATCAACGTTGTTGAATGAAGGATGAGACTCAATCATAAGGAATGAAAGAAGCTTCTGAGAATGAAAGATAATGGTGTTGTTATTATTATAAAGATCAGGATCTCAGTGGAGAGGTCTGGTCTGGAGGCACAGTTTTTCCCCCACCATTTTATTATGATACTTTTTAATAATCTGGCAATTTGCAGATCAAACATCCCTGGGGCCACTAAGTTGATCCTATCACTATTAGGGTTTTGCTTTTTGGGTTTTGTCACACACCTATCCTTATATACATCCATCTATTCTCTTTATTTTTCAATGTATTTGAAAATAAGTCACAGACATCAGAACACTTTACTCCTAATTCAACATGTATATCATTAATATGCATGTTCTATATTTATTTTCAGTGTATATAATATTGAAATGCATACAGTGAAATACACATACCTTAAGATTACCAAGAAGTAAGTTTTGACAAGTGCATACGCCTATATATCTTAAACCCTTAATAATATATGGGACATTGCTATTCTGGGGAACATGTTTTAAGGTGTCTTCTGGATATAGTTGGTTTTTCGAACACCCTTGCACACCCAGTAGTATCAGAAAAGAAGATGGTCAGAGATGAAATGACTGGCAGCTGGAGTGACTGAAATCAAAGTGTTTTTGGAGACTGAAAGGAAAAACAGCAAAATGTAAGGAGAAGTGAGGGAAAATGATATGGAGAAGTCAAGATGGGAGTGACCGACATCTATGAAGGAACAGAGACAGTAAACCATATAATAACTGAGATTTGCTATTGTATTTGCAGGATGGGGTCTGTGGTGACTCATGTTCTGCAGAGGCAGAAACCAGGCAGTAGTGAGGTCTTAGTCAAACTGCACTTCAAGAAATGAGATGTGTTTTAACATAGGTAGAAGAAACCCTAAGGTTAAAAATATAGGGGTGATCGGCCACCACTGTCACCCACTTGGAAGGGGATCTATCTAGGAGATCCTTGATAGAGAGGGAGAACAATGGGGTACAAAACCCAAAATCATTTGGAGGGAAAAAAAAAAGGGGGCGGACCAGGTTTGCTGGTCCAATAGAGCCTGGTGGAACCACTGAGACTATGGCCCCTAACTGCCCTTCAGGTCTGGAATTGAACCCACACCTGTGGTTTCTAGCCAGACAAAAGACAGGCATAGAGTTGAACATCTACCTCAAGTAGATGCACTCCTTGGAGAGAACAATCATGGGAGAAAGAAGGGCTGTTTATGCACAGGGAGACAGCTCAGGGGGCAGGAGTCCATGGAGGGATGGACACAGGAAGAGGTAACTAGGGGGAGGAAGTGGGAGAGGAGCTGTTGCATTGTGGTAAACTGTGGTCAATGTCATGAGACAAAGTATATGTGAACTGCTGTATGGAAAGTGAATTTGCTCTGTAAATCTTCACCCAAATCACAATAAAAGAAAAAAAAATATGGGGGTGATGACCATAATGACAATGATAATTATTGTTACTCTAGATCAATCTTAGGAGCTCTGGTGGTGTAGTGGTTAAGGCATTTTCGCTAACCAAAAAGGTTGGTGGTTCATACCCATTAGCCACTCTGTGGAAGAAAGATGAGGCAATCTGATTCCACAAAGATTTACAGCCTTGGAAAGCAAATGGGGGTTGCTTTGAGTTGGAATTGACTTGATGGCAGTGAGTTTGGTTTGGTTCTTGAGATAAATCTTACTGAGCTTTTACTATATGTCAGTTACAATTGAAGTACTTTACATGTAGTATCTCATTTAATTCTGCACAATAACAAACAAAGTAGGAACTATTATTATCATCTACTTCTATAGAGATGTCACCTCAGAAACCCAAGAAAGGGTCACTATGAGTCACAATCGACTTGACAGCAGTGAGTTTATTTTACAGTAAACCAAGGCACACAGAGATTAAGTCCCTTGTCCAAAGAAGAGATGTAGGAAGTTAGGGAGCCAGGCTTCCAGGATTCAGGCATTTAACTACAACTCAGTACCACAGAGCAAGTTTACACGCTGAAATAAAGGAGTTAGTGGAGTAGTAGATGTTGAAAATATAGGAATAAGGGTAACTGATGACAAGGTTCCTAAAAAGATGGGATGGAAATGAAGAGATGGGAGGTTTTATTATTCAAAGCTACAGTAGAAGCAGCAGGATTACTTGGGAGTTTGTTAGAATCTTTCTAGAGAAATTCTCTGTAGATTCTCAGGCCCCACCCTACACCTTCTAAGTTCAGAGTCTGCATTTTAACAACATCCCTGGGCTGTTGTTGTTATTTGCAATTGAGTCGGACCTGACTCATAGCAACCCCTCCTTGGGTTGCTGAGGCAGTATCGCTACGGAAGTAAATTTCCCCACCTTCCTTCTGAGGAGTGGCTGGTGGGTTTGAACTGCCAGCCTTCTGGTTAGCAGTCAAGTACTTTAGGCACTACGCTACCAGAGCTCCTTCCTGGGCTATTGGTGTACATGTTATAGCTTGAAACATAGGAGACTACAGTTATGCTGTGAAAAAGCAAGAAAGGAAGCATCTTATGAAGAGGTGAGGATGGAAGAGCATTTGTTTGCTTAGGGTCTCATCTCTTCACTTCAGTATCATGGTGAAAGCTATCTCATATTCTTGCTGAGCCCAGTCTTCCTACTATTTATTTGTATGCATTGAAATCCACCGGAATGGCTTTCAAGGCCCTCCTTGTAGCCTTTTCATGCAGCCAGCCTCACTCCTCATTGCTTTCTGCACACATTAAAACTATTCCTAGGGATTGAGGAGGCTCCTGGGGTGTAGGGAAGGTCCTGGGCAAA